TCTTTTTGTTTTCATTTTCACTGGGTTTTTTTATGCTAGTTGTTCAGTAAATAAGCTGAAAAAATGCTGAGTATTATAGAAAAGTCACAGGAGGAGAACAAAACAGGAAATGTGCTGTAGTAATAAGTGTTTATAAGCATGGTTACCACTTATTTATGCATATTCATAGTAGGTGTACATGTCATCTCTCTTCAGGTTCCTGAGCAGCAGCCGATTACTTTATGCAGTGGAGCTGAAGATACCAAGCATTATGAGGAGGGCAAGAAATGTGTGGAAGAATTGGCATTGTACCTCAAACCACTCAGCAGTGCAAGAGGTAGTTCCTACATTGCTTCCTTGGAAAATGAAACCAAAAAAACCAAATAAGATGCAAAACAAACTATCCAAATTATTAATTAGTATGTTTGGAAAAAGGATATAATTCTCGTTTAGAAACAAATTAAAACAAATTTCTTAAACATGACCTTAATGTTTTCATGGAGAGGAGGGGGATGTAGAACTGAAAGGTGGATGTAGAACAGAGAAAAGGCTGAGGTGTTTGACCATGGCATAGTGAGTTGAGACAAACTTTGATTTGATGTTTGCAGAGTAAGTAAAAATAGATAATTTTGCCTTTTTTTTTCAGTTCTGCTTTGTGATAACTGTAATGAGGCAGCTGTTCTGTAGAGGATTAATAAACTGATATGAGAAAGTTACTGCATGTAAGATAGATAAGGAAAACTATAAGTAATACTTACTTTATACAAGGTCATATACAAGAGCTGGGTCAATCTGGGTAATTCTAAGTTAGCAAGCCTGCACTGTGTTGAAGAGTATGGATTTTATATATATTACATGTGCTGGATTTGGACAGTCTGTCAGCCCAAGTAGTGGAGTTGGGCATTAGGGTATCAATTTTTTTTTTTTTTTGAGAAGCTGTCTTGGTGTTTTGCAGTGCAGTGTGACAGCAGTATCACTCTGGGAATTGGTGGCCCAGTGAACAAGCTCTGGCTGCAGAGCAAACTCAACATAGCAGCATTATGTCTAGTGAGTCACTTGTTCCTTTAACCTGAATTAGGTGGCTCTTGGCATGTTTGTGATTCAGAGTTTTGGCACATAATTAAACATCACCCAAGCAGTTCAGGACTCATGTAAGCTCTAAACCAAAACAGTGAAGGTACCATATGTAGGCAAGAAACTATATGTGTTGTGAAAACAAATATCCAAGGGATCCCTCAAGTCCATGAATAAGGGATGGACTGGAAATCTGTATGGGAGGGTGTGGGACAAATTACCAACATGGTGAAAGGATTCATTAGAGGTTCCATCTTCTTCAAAAGCCAGGTCAGTCAATGACAAGGTTAAGCCTGTGGGGAAGTTGACTACCAGAAAACTGCTTTTATTGCCAAGTAAAACAAGTGAAATGAACTTCTGATATGCCTTGACTAGTATTCCCTTTGACAAAATGGACACCAGGAGAGCTAGGTTTGCACATGTCCAGTACAGTCACTGAAGACTGGCACAAGGAGAGGAATATGAGGTAGTTTATTATTCTGTCTCATTTTGTTTTGAAGGTGTGGGTCTTAACAGTACTACTCAGAGTGTGCTGAGTCGTCCCATGCAGAGGAAACTTGTGACATTAGTCCATTGCCAGCTGGTGGAGGAGGAAGGGCGGATCAGAGCCATGCGTGCAGCTCGGTCACTGGGTGAAAGAACAGTCACAGAGCTCATTCTCCAGCATCAAAACCCTCAGCAGCTCTCCTCCAACCTCTGGGCTGCAGTGAGAGCCAGAGGGTGCCAGTTCCTTGGGCCAGGTAGGTGACATTGCAGCATCATTTCTGTACTAGAAGCAATTTAGAATAGAGTTGTTGATAAATGGCTGTCCAGTTGCCCAAGTGATTTTATTAAGCAACAGCCTAACTTCTTAATAGTAGTCTTCAGAATTAATTGTGTATCTGTTGGGCTGATGCTGTTGGGTTTTCTTGTATTTTTAATGCTTTTTCAAGTCTTGTGTAAAATTCAGAATAAGCGTCCTCCTGTTCTTGTCGTAAGATAAATGACCAGTTGCTTCTCACTTGCTATTCCTTGAAGATCTTTCTAGGAAAAATAAGGTTACTGGAAGTGACTGGCATGGCTTCTTTTCCTTCTCTAGGGCAATAAACATACAAAACAGTTGTGGGGATAGATTTGTTACAGTTATGTGTACACATTTTTGAGAAGTTGTGCATTTATAAATTCAATTCCTTTGCTTAAAATACTAGAAAGAAATCAATGTTGCTTAAAAAAAATGAAGTCTCATTATTGAAAATACAGACTTCACTTGTTGAGGCTTGAAATATGAAGCCAATTTCTTGAAGAAGAAATAGTGAAGTTTTTCCTGACTGAAACAGATGAAGAGTAATCTTGAGATATTAACTTTCATAACCGTGTTCTCCCTTAGCCTGTCAGCTTTTTCTTCTGGGATAAATGTAGGATGTAGGCAATACACTTTGAAAACTCATATTAATGATTAAGAAGTGTGCAGACAGGAATCTTCTTATCAGATGATACCCAAAATAGATGTTGTGGTAGTAGTAGCAATAATAATAATATTAATACAATATACAATGAGAAATCATAATAATATTAAAAGTAAAAAGTCCTGTTTTCTCAAGTCACAGTCTGGGAATGTGGAAGAGTTCCTTCTCACTTTGTCCTCCCTTCTTGCTCGACTCTCTTTTTTTCTCTGTGGGTTTGTGTGTCTGTTGGTTTTTTAGCTGTTATCCCAATTGTAGATGAACAAGAAACTGCAAAAATTTTACTTGGACTTCTCTTACCATTTGTTGTTTTTTTTTTCTATTTCCCCTGGCTCTCAGCAATGCAAGAGGAGGCTTTAAAGCTGGTTCTGCTGGCTTTAGAAGATGGGTCTGCTCTGTCTCGAAAGGTCTTGGTTCTCTTTGTGGTGCAGAGACTGGAGCCACGATTTCCTCAGGCTTCCAAAACTAGCATTGGGCATGTTGTCCAGCTCCTTTACAGAGCCTCATGCTTCAAGGTATGAAGAAGATTCTGCCCAAACCATTGGTTTTCACTTTCAGTGTTCATTGTCCTGTAGCATTAAATGTGTTCAAATATATGTGATTAGTTAGAGAAAGCATTGCTCATTTAGTCCCAGATGAATTTAGAGAGATCTTTATCATTCAGCTGTGATGGCAGCGTAGGCTGAAACAGCGACTTGAAGTTGTACAGTTAGGTTTTGCCTCTGTTCAGTTTCATAGAGACACCGTTACAAAACCTGGATGTAAGGCAGCATGCTTACCTTCTTAGAAGTGGCTTAAAGCCAAAAAATTCCTAATTCTGTTAATTCAGTTGTGGTGTGGTTAGAATCAAAGAAATAGGAGACTTTTGGGTGTCAGCTGTATGAAGAAAAACTGCTTAATGTACTTTACAGTAGTTAATATCTTACTAGATGTTCAACTTAAATGTCATTCACTCTTGCTAAGTGAGTAGAAAAACGCTTTGGTTTTGCTAATTGTACCCTCAAACAAAATCATGCAATGCAAACAAAATATCTTGATTGAAGGTATGAATGCTGTAAAGTCTTTCAGGAAGTGTGACACTTTGACCAATATGTGAATCAGAGACCAAGTAAAGGATGTTTTGTATCCAGTTTGCAGTGGTTCCACTCTGTGAAGTGTGTGTTACTTTAGTAGGAACTGGTGTTCATTGAGTAGTGTCATAGTTGATTTTAGTGTGGGAGAAGGACTTAATTGCTGACTGAAGATGCCACTTGCCTTAGACTTGACGTAATCTTGGGCTTATCCTACCTAATTTTATTTGGCTCATCTCTCCTTGCTAGGTGACCAAGCGAGATGAAGACTCCTCCCTGATGCAACTGAAGGAGGAATTTCGGACTTATGAAGCTCTGAGAAGGGAGCATGACTCCCAGATAGTTCAGATAGCCATGGAAGCAGGATTGCGCATCGCACCAGACCAGTGGTCCTCGCTGTTGTATGGAGACCAGTCTCACAAATCCCACATGCAGAGTATCATTGACAAGGTAAAGCCACCTGAAATCAGCCCAGTCCATCTTGTTCGCAAGTGTAGTCTATTTAAATGTTTGTAACATTGAACTTAGAAACTCTGCCCACGCAGGCTTACCCATTAATCATTTGTCCTGTTATGTCTAAATAATTAGAATATATATTTGTAACCTAATGAATCTTGTTCCCTCTGCCATCTTAAACATTTTTGCTACTTTCTTTCTTTCTGCAGATGGAAAACCCGCAAAGTTTAGCTAAATAATTGAGGGGTGACCTTTATGAACAGCTGATAAGTGCCAATGTAGTGACAGAGGCTAATGGTCTGTGTTTCCAGGCAGGAAGTTAGTGCATAAGTTGGAAAAAAAATGAGTCCCCAGGTCTGTGTCTGAAATAAGACAGAGAGGTGAAAGCACATTTCGTAAATACAATAACCTAAACTCTGGAAATGCCCAGATTTCTCTCTCAGAAGCAACATAGTATAAATGGACTTTTAGATTAGGGGATGCTTTTGTAAGTGCCTAAATTAGGTGGGAAGAACTGAACCTTGTTGAATGGTTATGAAAGCTGTGAAACAACTGCTTTGTTTGCTGTGCAAGAGGATTAGCTTCAAGATAGCTTCTGCTGTATATTTATGCCTTTGTCTGCCTTCTGAAGTGTCCTGCCAAACATCTCCTGAAGAATCTAGGTGGATTTAAATACTTTGTGTATTGTGTGATGTTAGGAAATGGAACGTTGCTAGCTATCTTTTCCTTCAAACATCTTGTTCTTTATTTTCTGCTTGCTGTACTCATTTTAAAGCAGCATGCAATCCTTTTGGTTTGGGGATTGGGTATATTAGACTCTTCAGAAATCTAAATTAAATGGTTTCTAATATGGCCCTTTTTTTTTTCTTTTAAGTGGCAGCACAACAAAAAAGAAATGGGTTTTATTTCTAGGAATAACAAAGAACTGTGCATTCTTAATAGAAAGGGTTCACTGGAATGAGCTTCTGTGAAAGGTGTTTATCTCCTATTTTGGGAGACAGTTCTTGTGAGCCTGTGGAGCAGCCTTCAGAAACCATGAGGATTGCTATGCCTGTAGAAAGTTAATTATGATAATTTTTTTAAGTTGCAGACCCCAGCCTCATTTGCACAGAGTGTTCAGGAATTAACTATTGCTCTTCAGAGGACTGGAGATCCAGCTAACTTGAATCGTCTTAGACCTCACCTAGAGCTCCTAGCAAATATTGATCCCAGTCCAGGTAAATCTGGATGTTTTTATGAAAACTTTAAGTTTAGCAAGATGAACTTAACACTGTTCAAAGATTGAAAACTGATCGTCAAGTATAAGGAAATGTCCTCCTTATTCATCATCTTACGAGTTTTGGATTCCAAGATAGAATTTTTATAGATTGAGTAGAGAGAAGCTGGGCAGAAGTAGTATAGACAAGAATGATTTGTTACCCTACAGAATTCAGAATTTTTTCTTGTTCATGTGTAATTCTGCAAAACTAGGAAAGAGTCTGGGAAGATAGTTGGAAAGAATTTAACTGGGAAATAAAACCCAAGCTGTTGACAGAGGAGAGAAAGATAGAAATGGTTGTAAAAGTCAGCAATGCTGTAAGGATGGACCACCTGAGAGAGAAGGGAAGGGACTGAACAAAGTACTATGGCTGAAGTTTCATTTTATACCTGCTAAAATGTGTAAAATCAATATTATATATCAAAATAGTAATAGATATGAAGTACAACTGGAGGAGATGAAAAATTGTACTTCGTATTTGATTGAATAAACAGAAGTTAAACTTCCTTTCCAATGAGGACCAGTTGTACTTCACAGCTAAAGGAGATGCAGTGCTTTCTTCCCAAATCTTTCATACTGGAACAAGCTGGGGACAAACCTGTGTACTGCAAATTCGTTGCAAAAAACTGATATGGAAGGTGGCATCACTAATAGCCTGTTTTTTGGTAGCCAAGTCTGGTCTTCATGGGTTTTTTTTCTGTACTGTTGAGTTATCTAAAGAACAGCAGGGAAGCATATTGAAGTACTTCTGGAAGAATTTAGTCCCTGTGAGTGTAATATAATGTAATTAATTCTGTTAGAGACCTTGAAAGGCTCTTTGAGGTACTTTTTTTTGCACCAGAGTGTGCAGGCACACAGTGGGAATGTCAGCTGCTGGAACAGATTCAAAAACTTAGAAGAGTAAATTGGCTAAAAAGAAAAAGCACTCCTATAGAATTGAGACTGTACAACTTACTCACTGTTTTAGATGGTGGTCTGATTCATAGATTGGCCTTGATGTTTTTTCCACATGAGAGGCATTAATTTCCGTTGCTATTCCACATCTGTGCCGGTATAATCAGGCCAGTGATGACTGTATTCGTATAGAATGATTTTCCCTCCAGGAGTCTGAATGCAAAGAAGGATTTTGAACCTGATGTTTTTCTTAATGAGAAGAGTTTGTACAGTGCCTTTACTCTGGAGTTTTTGTCAGATGTGAAACTTCTTCTAAAAGGAAATAATTTGACATGCTAACAATGATCTTACTGGCTCATTCAGTATTTTGTGCAGTTTAGTCCTAAATTTATAGATACCTCTATTCTGTAAGAGCTAAATGTCCCAGAATTAAGGTGATTAATGCTTTTTATCTACTGATGAAGCATTTTTTATAAACTTGGCTATTAAGTTTTGTATTACTGATGCGGGATTTTGTACCTGGTTTTGGAAAATCCTTCTAATTTTTCTTTCTATATTTGGTTTTTGCTGTCCGTGCAACAGATGCTCCACCTCCAACATGGGAACAACTGGAGAATGGACTAGTTGCTGTGAGGACTGTGGTTCATGGCTTAGTTGATTATATCCAGAATCACAGCAAAAAAGGAACAGATCAACAACAGGTAAAAGCTAAATCATTTGGGGAATATTTGCCTCTAAGTTTTATTTGCTGTATCCTATAGTAGAGGTTTACTAATGTCATCTGGAAAGATTTGGTTTGACAAAGCGCTAATTGAAAACATCACTGCAAGTCATATTTATCAAAAAAGAAACAGGAAAAAACATGAGACACCACTTCCAAAACCTGTTGAATTGATTTTCACAGTTCACTAGGATGGAAGGAGAACAGTCTGATCCAGCTTAGGGAAATGAATAACAACTTTCCTGAGTAGAAGGTGGGGAAGGAATGCTGGGTGGTGCTGTGATTTGTGGGAATTTTCTTCGTTTTGTTTTAATGTGACATATTTCAGCCAGCTGGCTCTCTGTTTATGAAATCATCTGTATACCTGTGCTTAATGGTCTGTTAAGCTTGAAGATTTAAGAATAGTGCATATGAAGGTGCAATCCAAATTCCTGAAACAATTTTTTTTGTTTCAGCAATGACAATGTAATTGTATATTAGGTTCTCATAGTTACCATATCATACATTCCTTTGATGTCATTTTATTGTGTAGCTCAGTTGATGTAAATGCTGGTGAAATACAGAGCTGCCTGTCCCAGTCCTACTCCTCCGTTGCTTTGGCATTCATCCTCTTGGGGAGCTCAACTAGTAAAAAGATTCTCTGCCAAAAAAAGGGCAAAATTCAAGTGAATTATTTCTGCTGTTTCACCTTTTTGCATTATTTGGGATGGATAATGAGCACTGTCACCAGCAAAAGCAAAAACAGTAGAAATGCATAAGTGGGAATCTGGGAGGGCAAAACAGCAAGAGTTTTTGTTGTGGAGAGCCTGTGATATGTGCTGTGCTGCTTGGAAAGGAACCCAGAGCTTCCTGAGTAGGAAAGGGATGTCTGCTGAGCTCTGGTAAAGTTACCTGGCAGCAGTGGCCAGTAAATGGCTGTGTGGCTTATGTTCACTCTGCCTGGATCTTTTCACTACAGCAGATAGCAAAAAACCCCCAAACCAAACAAAAACAAAACAAACAAAAAAACTACAAAAAAACCCCAACAGTTTGCAAGTGACTTCTTACAGATATACCTTTTGGCTTCTCAGAAAGCACGTTGATTTTTACAGACCTTTCCCTTGGTGGGAACTATTGATAGGGTATATCCGATTATTGGTAACATCTTTATCCTCTATCAGTTTTGTCCGTTAAGCTGTGTCCTTAAATGTACAGCTGTGTTCCAGTCAAGCTCTCAAGTAAGGAGTTTGAATAAAAATGTTGTAGAAAACTGGGAGTTGACTTAGTTGTCAAAACATGTACTCTTCATAAATGTGTTGGTTCTGTTGAAGAACCAGACACAAGTACTGCAGTAATTATATCAGGTATTTCAGAAATACTTAAATTTGAGGAATTATCAACAGTCAAACATCAGGCCTTTGATAAGATTCAGCTTGGTGAAATGCACTTTGATGTTCAGGTATCTCACCTGCTTTCTTTAACCTTGCCAGCCCCCTCAGCACAGCAAGTACAAGACATACATGTGCCGTGACATGAAGCAGAGAGGAGGATGTCCCCGGGGGGCCAGCTGCACCTTCGCACACTCACAGGAGGAGCTGGAAAAGTAAGTGTTCCTCTGCTAGTAGAAAGCAGTCTAGTCTTTGTTTTGTCTATAAGAGTTATTTCTCTTATCTAGGAATGAGGGGGAAAGGAGGTCTAACCTGCTGTTGAACTAGTAAGAAATAATGTGATAAACTTGAAACAGTCATCTCTTAGGTTTTGGAGCTACTTGTTCTTCCATACAGCAGGATCTTTGCTTTGTTTATCAGTAATGCAGCTCTGCAAGTTTGATGTTACACAAGTGTTATCTAAAGTTTTTGGAGGTGGATTGTTTTCCCTACTTTTTAAGTGTGACTAAACGTGCTGTGTGATGGCATTCACAGTGGCTGTTATTTGAGGGTACTTCTTATCTTCCCTTTTTATTCAGGTAGGTTGGTGGGACTTTTCCAAATGTAAGGAATGTGTTGCTAGCTCTCCAAAGAGCTAAAACTAGCTTTCCAAGATTTTTCCCTGCAACAATTCTTTGTGCAATCTGTCAAAAAGTTTCATGCAGGTACCTTCAGTTGGTTACATCTGTTGTTGTAGAGTTAAAAAATTATGGTCATATCAAGTTTGTAGTCCTAAATCATTATAGATTAAGGAGGGTTACCAGTTACACAAGAGCAAGATGCTGTTGTTCTGCAGGTTGTTTTAATTTTTTTTAAGTAAAATGGACTATTTAGGAACTAAAATAAATAAATACAGTGTATTTTATGTAGCATATTAGCTTGTTACTTGCTCTTTGGGCTAAAATAATTCAAAGAAAAGATACTTTTTAATGAGAAGAATATTCAAAGGCTCAGAATTGGCATGCACAGTTTCTTTTCCCTTTCTTAATCTGAAAGTCAAAGCATTAATGTCAGTTCATGAGCTGTATAGCCAGTATGCAGTGCCCAGACAAAACACGAAGAAAGAAGAGCAGAGCGTGCAGTGTTGGAATGACAAAGACACGTATTCATATGAACAAGGAATGCCTGTATTTGTTCAGGCTTTAGTCAGAAGCAGTTAGATTTTTGGAATTGCTGCATGTTCATAGTTTTTATCTCTGCAATCACTTTATTAAACAACAGAAATGGTGTAAGATGCATATTGATACAGTAACATAAATCTTGAACTGTGTTTTAAAATACATTACATGGTAGTAAACACTTGGCTTTTTATTGGACAAACGGAGCAAAAGGGTATAACTTCATATTATTTCACTTAAATTTTCTGCTATTAGATTCTTCTCTGAATAAAACAGGCTTGAACAGTCTGTGATTCTTATTCTTAAACTTGTGTTACTATATTTTATATGATAATAGTACTTTATGTGATGCCTGGTTTTGGTTTTCTTCTCTTGAGATGAATATGTGTAAAGAAAGTAGGACTTGTAAATTTGCTGTCTGAAGTTTACCTGTGAATTCTTCATGTACTTGTTATTAAAAGTCCATCCTTGTTCTGACTGAAACTCCTATTAATAAATCGGTTATCAGGGAAGTTGTATTAAGAGGTATTCTCATAAGCCTCTTGGGGAACTTGAATAAAAAGAAGCTTTCAGTAGAATCCATGTTTTAAAAATCTTGAAAATACAGCTCCTTCTGCTTTTTTTTTTGTTTCACTTTTTGATATGTGATTTTCTTTCTGAAGGTTCCGTAAAATGAACAAGCGTCTTGTTCCCAGAAGACCCCTTAGTGCCTCCCTGGGCCAGCTGAACGAGGTGGGCCTGCCTTCCGGAGCTATCCTCTCAGAGGAAGGGGGAGTGGACTTGCCCAATAGGAAAACTTCTGCTCTGCCAAATGGAATTGTGTCAACAGGCAGCACAGTGACGCAGCTCATTTCTCGAGGCACTGACTCCAGTTATGAAAGTGCCCTGAAGCCGGGGAAGATGGACCATCTGAGTAGCAGTGCCCCTGGATCCCCTCCTGACTTGTACGGCTCTTCCTACCTGTTGTTCCAATTGTTGTGTGTGTAAATGTAGAGTAGAAACAAAGTAAATTAGTTCTTTAAAAAAGAAACAGAACTGGGGTTGTGGTTGGGGTTTTTTAGTGATTATATAGTAGAGTAGAAAGCTAAAGCTAAAACTAAAATGTGTTAATTCCCTGTTTGCTTATATTTTAATTGGAGAAGGTGATAGAAGCCTTCAGAAGGTAGAGTGTAGACAAATTACAGTGTGTTAGAGTACAGTGTGATATACCAGACCTTAATGAGCAGTGACATCTTTCCACTTTTTTAGGCTGGAATCTGTTCCCAAGAGCTCTATTTCTGCCTTGCCAGTGAATCCTCATCCTGTGCCTGCTCGGGTGCCAGCAGATCTGCCCTCGGTGTCTGTCACCAAGCAGTTGCAGATGGTACCACGAGGGTCCCAGCTGTACAATGCACAACAAGCAGATATGTTTTATCAAGACCCCAGAGGGGCTGCCCCATCGTTTGAGCCAGCACCCTATCAACAAGGTAAGATTGACACCAAGCTCTTCATCCTCATGCTGATTTTAGTCTTTGTTCCCACTCTGGTTTTTCAGCCCTTTAATTGGAGTTTTCTTACAAATGACGTGNATAATAAAATAGGAATTGGCAGTATGTTATATCTTGACTGAGGACTTGAGTGCAAGTGGAAACAATACTTGTATCTGCCCAAATGTTGCAAGTCCTTCTGTCTTCAATTCTTCCTAATTGGGCTGGATGAGGGATCCAGTATGGTAAACCTTAATTCAGTTTGACTCAGGGAAAATGTAAATAAAGTGTGTGTGATGGCTGGAGATAAGTGAAATTAGAGAAGGGTGTTTACAAAAAAAGAAAACATCATAAAATAGGAATTAAGAGGAAAAACTAGCTATAAAGAGAGCATGTGGAGAAAGATAGATAATATTGAAGGGGATTAAAAAGAGAAGATATGACTATATGAAAACAGAGAATGATTCTTAGGCAATGAGAGGTTGCAGAGAGAAATGAGATAAAGTGAAGTTAATATGAAAGAAAAATGAGCAATGAAAGACCAAAGGAAGTTAAAAGCAGAAAAAGCTCTAGAAAGGAAAGGTGCACTGGGGGAAGCCATTTCTGAGAAAGTTGCAGAGCATTTTGAAGAAAAACAAATGACTTACATTTGTTCATTATGTGCCAGTGAACATCTGAGTTGCCCACAAAATTCGATGTTATGCACATATTCATGCTTGTTTTAAAATTATCCAGACATCCCAGATAGAATAATAAAATTTTGAGGTAACGAGGCAATGCGATATTACAAGTCTTCGGTGATATACAGTTCTGAAATGTCTTTCTCATGTTCAAGATTTATTCTATATCTTGTTAAAAACTTATCTAGATAACTTTAAATCCTAATAATCCAATTTCCTTTACCCAGCCAGTGGCTCTGATATGTTGAGATAAATTGAATTTAATTGCATGGATGAAGATGTCCAGACCAATCTTCAATTTACATTTTAGGTCTTAGCTAGCTGAAAGCATTTGTAGCAATCTGCAGAGACATTCTGGTGATTTATTTCTATTCGGTGTGCTGGCAGGACTTGTGGGGCATCTGTGGTGGGCTCAGCTCTTCATCAGCTGTAACGTTGACACCGAGCTGGTATCTTAGGGAGTTACACTATGTCACTTGAGCTTTGAATCAGCTTCTGTGGACAGATCAATTTTTGTGGACAATTGTGGTAATCCTTTTCTGTATCTTGTGTCTCCCCCCCTTGCCTTGCTTCAGGAGTGTACTACCCCACTCAGTCCATGTCTCGTTTTGTCCGACCTCCTCCGTCAGCACCTGAGCCGGGTGCGCCGTACCTGGAGCACTACGGGCCGTACCTGCCAGAGCGCGTGGTGAGCCCGCAGTACCCACAGCCACAGGGCTACCCGACCCTGGCACAGCCCATGTACCCTCCACACTACGACAGCCGCCGCGTCTACCCCCCCGTGCAGCCCTACCAGCGCGACGACGTGGTGCGGGGCAGCCCGGTGCCCATCGACATCCCGCAGGCGGCCGTGCCCCTCTACGTACCTGAGAACAGAGACAGATACCAGCAAACAGAGGCTTATTGCCCAGTGGCTCCACATCTCGGTCAGATCAGACCTTCGTGCCACAGGGTATGGGTTCTACACTGTGTTTTTGTAGTTGTATTGAGAGAGAAACTATAAACTGTTGGAGGAATTGATTATTTTTGTACTAAGGTGGTGGCCTTCGTGAAAGTCTGAGCTTTAGGAAGGGAATCAAAAACTGGAAGGTAATTTGGTTACTGGTCAACTCTGTGGGGTTTAATCTCC